GGACACCCCCTGGCCTTTGCCAGGTGCCCAGCACTGAGGGGCTCCCAAAATTCGGCCCCTTCTCCATTTTCTCCAGAGCCTTTTAAACATCCCAATATTTAATCTATTCAATATAAAAATATTTACTGTGATAATATTTAACAATTTTACCAACACAAGTTAATATTTTCATATAAACATGTATACTAGAAAAATGTTTAATATTTAATATTTTATATCTAATATTTGATATTTAACATTTTAATACACTATTTACTATTTATTTGGGGATTATTTTAAATCAAGTTTCCCTTTTCCCAGTTTTCCCAGCCCTGAGCCCTTCCCAGAGCTCTCACCTTCCCTTCCAGGATCATTTGCTTCCTTTTATTGATTTCTTTCTTCTCATCAAAATCCATCCCCTCCAGCTCCTGGCAGAGGGAAGAGCAGCAGAGCAGTGAGGAATGGGAAAAAAAAAAAACCAAAAAATTGTGAAAAACCAGAAAAAAAAAACCCAAAGGAGCCTCCCCCACGTCCTGCAGGAATTCCCAAATGCTGGAACCCTGAAATTTGGGAATTTTGGAAGCCAGGATTCCCAAAACCTTGGGGGTTTTGAATTTTCTGGCACTGGATTTTAGGGGAACACTGAGGCCTTGGAGGAAAGATTCCAAAATTTGAGTGATGGAATTAAAATCGTAATTGTGTAATTAGAATGGAAATTGGGATTTCACATGCTGAAGGGTTTTCAGAATATAATAATTATCCTAAGATGTTTCAGACTACAGGAAAATATTTTAATATATTTTAGAAATACATTTAGAAAATGAAAAAAGAAGAAATGAAGAAAATGAAGAAAATGAAGAGAAGAAAATTAAGAAATGAAGAGACGAAGAAATGAAGAAAATGAAGAAATGAAGAAACAAAGAGAAGAAAATGAAGAAATGACTGAAATGACAGAAAAGAATGAAAGGAATGAATGAAATGCCAGGCAGGAGGGCAGTGGGCAGCACTCACCAGCTCACACTCCCTCCTGGTCACGTTCACCTGGGTCAGGATGTTCAGCACCAGCTGCTCCTGCACTGAGAACTCCTGCAGCTGCAGCTCTGGAGCAGGGAAAAAAAAAATATCAGGGGAAAACAAAAAATCGGGGGAAAAACCCAAAAATGGAGAGGGAACATTCAAAATTCAGTGGAGAGAAATCCAAAAATCAGGGGAGAGAAAATCCAAAAATAGAAGGGACAATCCAAAAGTCAGGGAGAGAGATTGACAGAGAAAGTCCAAAAATCAGGGGGAAACGTGGAGAGGGAAAACCCAAAAATGGAGAGGGAAAAATCCAAAATTCAGGGGGAGAACCCAGTGCCAGTCCCTGGGATTGTCAGTGGAATTGTTCTGTGTTCAATGCTGGATTTTCACACGCTGAGCTCAATCCTCCCCTGAGCCTCCAATTGAGGGGTTGGGGGTGTCCCAAAAGGAAAATGGGGAATATGAAACTAAAGAGTGGAACAGGGAATGTGAACCCCAAAATGAACCCCAGGAGTGGGGAGGGAAAAGGGGAAAAAGGGGAAAAGGGAGAAAGGGAGAAGGGAGGAAGGGAAAAGGGAGAAGGGAGGAAGGCCCCCACTCACTGATCTCCTCCTCGATGGTGTGCAGCAGGTGAATGTCGTACTGAGTGACCAGAGTGAGGGCCACGCCCTTCCTCCCTGAGACGGGAAAAATCAGGGATGGACCCAAACATTCCCAACCCTCCATCCCCCCGAGATCCCTTCCCTCTGAAAACCTCCTTAAAACCTCACTAAACCCTTATTAAACCCCATTAAACCCCCACTAAACCCTTATTAAACCCCCATCAAACCCTCAGTGGTGCTGTGATCCATCCTCACATCCCAGGGCAGGATCCCAGAGATCCTGGTGGATCTGGGGATGCTCCTGCTGGCTGTGAACCCTCTCCCTGCTGGTTCTGTCCCCTCTTTGGTGGCTCTGTCCCCTCTCACCTGCCCGTGCTGTCCTCCCCACACGGTGGATGTAGATTTTGGGCAGCCCCGGGGTGTTGTGGTTGATCACAACCTGCACTGCAGGGATGTCCAAACCTCTGGAATGCAGGGAAAAAAAACAAAACAAAACAAAACAAAAAATAAGAGTCAGCTGTGGAAAAAGAAATTAAATCTTACAGAATTGTAAAATGGCAGAATGGTGTGGGGTGGGAGGGAGATTAAAACTCCTTTAGTTCTAGGCCTTGCCTTGGGCAGGGATCTCACTTTCATTCCTGCTTTCTCCAGAAGCCCCAGATTTCCATGGATAATTCCCCAATTTCTCTCTCAGGTTTAACAATTCCCAAACCCATTCCTCAAGGAATTCAACAATTCCCCTTCCTCTGGAGCTGCCCTTGCCAGACCCAGGGGCCCCTCAGAGACCTCCAGCCCCTCCCTGGGCAGAGCCCCAGCACCCCCAGGCCCCAAAGCCCAGCTCAGTTAGGCTGGGACCAGCCTGTCCCAGCCGAATTCTGGGGGATTTGAGGTTCTGCCCTTGCTAAGCTCAGCCTAAACTGGTTCTGCTGAACAAACCCAGCCATGAGTTCCATTTTACCTGGCAGCCACGTCAGTGGCAATGAGGATCCTGAAGATGCTGGATTTGAACTTGGCCAAAGCTGCAAATCTCTGTTTCTGGCAGGAGGAAACTCCAGGTGAGGGGTGTGGGACTCACCTGGAGCCGCCCCGGGAGGCCCCTGCAGCCCTCACCTGCTTCATCATGGAGTGCAGGGCCACGGAAGGGAACTTGAATCTCCTCAGCATCATGTTCAGCACCTGGCAGTCCCTGCAAGGGAGGGGAAAAAAAAAAAAACAAAACAGGAAAATTCTGGGGATGCACCGAGGGAATGGATCAGGAGAGAGCTGGGACAGGTAAGGATTGTACCAGGTGATCCAGCCTGGGCTGGGACAATTCCAGGGGTGGGAAAAATGGGACAGGGTGATCCAGCACAGTCTGGGAATATTCCAGAAATGGGGAAACTGGGACAGGCAGGGACTGTGTCAGATTGCTCCAGCATAGTCTGAGACAATTCCAGCGGTGGGAAAACTGATGTCCCACTGTCCCAGGATGCTCAGGACTGGCCAGGGACCATTCCAGAAATGGGAAAAGTGGAATTTTCACAGGCAGGGACTGTGCCACACACAGGGTGATCCAGCAGAGTCTGGGGTAATTCCAGGGGTGGGAAAGCTGTGCCAGGGCTGGGTGCCAGGGCTGGGTGCCAGGGCTGGGTGCCTGGGCTGGGTGCCTGGGCTGGGTGCCAGGGCTGGGTGCCTGGGCTGGCTGTGCTCACTTGCAGGTTTTGGTGAAGATGATGATGGCCCAGTCGTGGTGCTGCTCCTGGAAGCTCTGCACCAGGTGCACCAGGTAAGCATCCTTCAGTGCCTCAGGGACCAGCAGGTACCTCTGCTCCAGCTCCTCCACTGTCCTCGCCCTGCAGGGAACGGGAAAAATGGGAAATCTCAGGGGAATGAGGCTGGAAAAGCCCTCCAGGATCATCCCACACCACGTCCAGCCCTTCCCTGGCCACCCTTCCCATGAGCAAATTCCTGCTCCTGCCCCACCTGGAACACCCTGAGCTCGTTCCCTCCTCTCCTGGTGTCCCCTGGGACCTGTCCTGCCTGTCCCCTCCTGCTGGGGACTCATGGAAATTGGGAATGTCCCCCTGATCCTGCTTTTCTCCGGGCTGGGCCCCTTCCCATCTCCCTCAGGAATTCTCCATCCCCATTCCAGCCCCCTCAGGAATTCTCCATCCCCATTCCAGCCCCCTCAGGAATTCTCCATCCCTTCCCTATCTCAGGAATTCTCCATCCCTTCCCCATCTCAGGAATTCTCCATCCCTTCCCCATCTCAGGAATTCTCCATCCCTTCCCCATCTCCCTCAGCCTCTCCAGCCCCTCCCCTGACACTCCCCAAACGCCTGGAGGTGCCTCCAGCACACAAAAAACCAGGGAAAAAAGGAATAAAAAAACCAAGAAAGAAACGGCATGGGGGCACTCACGGGGACTCAGCCTCCCAGAAGAAAGGTTTGTTGGCAGCCAGGGCCTGCAGCTGGCTCAGGGTGGCCGTGAGGGTGGCACTGAACAGCAGAGTCTGGCGGCGAGCGGGCACCGCCCCCAGGATCAGCTCCAGGTCTGCACTGAAATCAGCACAGCCCTGCTCCAGCAGCCTGTCAGCCTCGTCCAGAACCTGGGGAACAGCTCCCTCAGCTGCAGGAACCAGCTGGGCTATGGGGAAGGCTCCCAGGGATGGAGGGAAACCAGCAGGGATGGAGGGAAACCAGCAGGGTTACTGGGAATCCAACCAGGGATGGAGGAAACCCAGCAAGATTCCTGGGAATCCTCCCAGGGAGTGAGGAAATCCCAGAGAATTCCCAGGAATGCTCCCAGGGAATGAGGGAGGCAGGGATTTGGGTTTTTTTACCAGGAATTTGATTTTCCTGAGGCTGAAGGTGCTGGAGCTGCGCAGGTGATCAGCGAGGCGCCCGGGGGTGGCAACCACCACGTGGGGCTTCCGAGCCAGCTCCAGGGCCTGGGCCACCATGTCTGCAGGAAAAACAGGGAAAAAAAACTCAGGAATGTCCTGGAATTCCCAGCTCCAGGGCCTGGGATCAAGCAGGGAATCCCAAACAGGGCTGGGAATGTTGGGAGCTGGAGCAGGGAGAGGAGCCAGGGAAGGGCAGAGCTGTGCCAGGGGTTTGGGATGGAGACCAGGGAAAGGTTCAGGGATTTTGGGATGGAGATCAGGGAAAGGTTCAGGGATTTTGGGATGGAGATCAGGGCAAGGTTCAGGGATTTTGGGATGGATTTCAGGGATTCTGGGATGGATTTCAAGGAAAGTGTTTTCCCCAAAGGCTCTGGGGCACTGACACCCCCAGGGAATGATCCAACCCCGAAGCTCCCAGACCTCCAGCATCCCCCAGGCTGGGATTTGGGGGTTGGATCAATGATCCCAAGGTCCCTCCCAGCCCAGGGAATTCCCAAACAGTTTCCCCAGGGAAGCAGAAGCTCAGGAATGTTCTGGACTCACCCAGGCCTCCCACAACCACGCAGTCCTTCAGGCCCAGGGGTTTGCCCAGCACTCGGAACTGCTCAGAGATCTGGGACGCCAGCTCCCTGTGGGACAGGGGGACAGGGGGACAGAGGGACAGAGGGGACAGGGGGACAGCAGGGACAGGTGTAAGAGCACGATGGAGACATGGAGGCTTCAGCCAGCTCCTCAAATGTTCTTTATTGCACAGCCCAGGTTCCAGTTTTGGGTGGGACAGGCCGGGGGTTTGTGGTGAGAGGGATGAGGGATTTGTCTTTACAAACAAGGAAATCTGGAGCTCTCGAGTAGCTCAGGCAATGGGGAAAGAGAGAGGGAAACTGGGATAAAAAGGGAGGTGAGTCTTCCAAAAATGTGAGAGCTGCCAGGGGAATGCCCCATGGGCTCTCCCTTTATTCCAATGAATTTACAGGACTCCTGTGCCCCCTTTCTGGCCATGGAGCCGTGGTGTTTGGGGCTCCCGGGGCGCCCGTACCTGGTGGGGGTGAGCACGAGGCAGAAGATGCCGAAGGGATCCTCGGAGAGCACCTGCAGCACGGGCAGCACGAACGCCGCGGTTTTACCGCTGCCGGTCTGGGCACAGCCCAGACAGTCCCGGCCTGCGGGGACAGCGCCGTCAGCGCGACGGGAACGGGGAATGGGGACGGGAATTGGGGAAATGGGGACGGGAGCGGGACACGGGGAATGGGGACGAGAATTGGGGAAATGGGGACGGGAACGGGACACGGAGATGGGGAACCGGAGATGGAGAACTGGGATGGGGATGGGAGAGGGAATGGGGAATGGAGAACGGGGAATTGGGGAATGGGGAACAGCGGCCGTGCCCGAGGGAGGGATGGGGACCATGAGCGGCCGTTCCCGGGAATGGAACCGGGAAGGTGAAAGGCGAGCCCGAGGATGGGATGGGACGGGCACCGTCAGGGACTGTTCCCGAGGACGGATCGGGGCCCGTGCGCGGAGTTCCCGAGGATGGAACCGGGAATATGAGGGGCCGGTGAGGGGCCTTTAGGAGGATGGGACCGAGCGTACGAGCGGCCCCTCGCGGGCGCGGTGCTCACCCTGCAGTATGGCCGGGATGCAGGCGGCCTGCACGGGCGTGGGCCGCACGAGCCCCACCTGCCGCGCCTGCTCCGCCAGCCACGGCGCCAGCCCGAGCGCCCGGAACTCCGCCATGGCCGCCGCGCTCCGCGTGCGCGCCGCGCGCTCTGATGGCGTCACAGCCGCGCGCTCCGCTCATTGGCCGGTTCGCTCTAGCACCGCCCACACCCGGTCCCGCGCGTCGCTCTGCTGACGCAATCACCTCCTCGCGTTGCTATTGGCGGTTTCCATGGAAACGGCGGCTCCCGGCAGCCCGCGCGGCGCGGGCGCTTCCGGGGACGTGGCTGAGGGCAATGGCGGGCGCGGCGCCGGCCGGGGAGCCGGACGAGCTCTTCGACCTCCGCAACAACTTCTACATCGGCGCCTACCAGGCCGCCATCAATGAGGCACAGCGGGCTAAGGTCGGCCACGGGCGGGCGGCGCTGCCCGGGCCCCGCCGGGGCTCTAAAGGGCCGGGGGCTCCCTGAGGGCCGGGCGGGTTCGTGTGGGGCGGGTTCGTGTGGGCAGCTCCAGGAGGGATTTCTGTGGGACGGGCTCCTGCGGGCTCCTCTAGGAGGGATTTCTGTGGGGCTGTTACTGTGGTGTTGGTTCCCGTGGGGCTGTTGCTGTGGGGCTGTTTTTGGGGCTGTTACTGTGGGGTTGGTTTCTGTGGGGCTGTTGCTGTGTCCTGGTTCCTTTGGGGCTGTTTTTGGGGTGTCAGAGCCCTCAGAGGTTCGTGTTCCTCCCTCCCCACAGCCGGGCAGCCCCGAGAACGAGCTGGAGCGGGACGTGTTCCTGTTCCGAGCCTACATCGCCCAGGTGAGGCCACGGGGGCTCCTCCTGGGCTGTGGGGGTTCCTTCCATTGTTTTATAAAACTCTTCCCTTCCATTGTTTTATAACACTCTGCCGTTCCATTATTTTATTCTATTATTCCATTCCATTGTTTTGTTTCCCTGTTCCATTCCATGATTTTATTCCATTATTCCATTGTTTTATTCTATTATTAAATCTGTTCTTTTATTCCATTACCTCATTTCATCTGCTTTTTATAAGCGCATTTAATATCATTCTTTTATTTTGCCTTTTTATTTTCTTAATTTGTCTCTTTTGAAAGCTCATTTTATCTGATTCTTTCATTCCATGCTTTCATTCCATCCTTTCATTCCACGATTAAATTATAATACTTAATATAATTATAGTAAAATATAATTATTATAGTAATACTATTCCACTGTTTTATTTTATTCTCTCCTTTTTAAGCTCACTTTATTCCATTCTGTTTTCTCCTTTTTTAAACTCATTTCTGTTCCCACCCTCCTTGGGCCATTCCATCCCAAATGCCCTGCCCTGTGGGAATCCATTCCCTGTGTCCTGCCCCCCAAATCCCTGGGAGTTCTGAGCTTTTCCTGCTTTTCCAGAGGAAGTTTGGAGTGGTGCTGGATGAGATCAAGGCCAGTGCCAGCCCCGAGCTGCAGGCTGTGAGGATGTTTGCAGAATTCCTGGCCAACGAGAGCCAGAGGTGAGGGGGGAATCCACGGGGCTCTGGGGGCTTCAGTCAGCCTGGAAGAGGCAGAATTCCTGAAATTCCTGGATTTTTGGGGGGTTGGAGGGGGTTTGAAGGTTATGCAGGGATACATTCCACTGTCCAGGATGCTCCAGCCTGGCTTTGGACATTTCCAGGGGTGGATCAACCACAGATTCTCCCATTTTTCCTCCCATCTTTTCTCCCCCCATGTTCTCCTATTTTCCCCCCATTTTATCCCCATTTTCCCCCCCCATTTTCTCCCCCATTTTCTCCCATTTGTCCCTCCATTTTTCCCCCCATTTTATCCCCATTTCCCCTCATTTTCCCCCATTTTCCTCCCCGTTTTCTCCCATTTTTCCCCCCATTTTCCCCCATTATATCACATTTTATCCCTATTTTTTCCCCCATTTTCTCCCCAAACCTCTCCCACACTCCCCTTTTCCCTCTCCCCAGGGACTCCATCGTGGCAGAGCTGGACAAGAAGATGTCCAAGAGTGTGGATGTGGCCAACTGCACCTTCCTGCTGATGGCAGCTTCCATCTACCTGCATTCCCAGAACCCTGACGCTGCCCTGAGGGCCCTGCACCAGGGGGAGAGCCTGGAATGGTGAGGGAGTTCCCAGCAATGCTCCACTTCCCAGCAGGGCTTTGTTGCTCTCCAGGAATGGCACTCGGGCTCTGCCTGCTGTTTGGTTTCACTCTGAGCAGCTTTCGAAGCATCCAGAGGCTCCTCTGAGGTTTTTGCTTTCGGGGGATTTGGGTTTTTTTCCTGCAGTTCTCGAGGGGAATGTGAGAGCTTGGGTATTGATCCATGTGGGATCTGAGCCAGGGAGCAGCTCCAGGGATCCCATTCTGGGTCGGGAGGGACCTGCAGGGTCATCCCAGGGGGGTTTGGGGTCGGGAGGGACCTGCAGGACCATCCCAGGGCTGGGAATTCTCTGGGATTTGTGCCAGGGGCTGCCATGGGGTGCTGGCTCAGCTCTGCTCTTGTCTTTGCAGCTTGGCCATGATGATCCAGATCCTGCTGAAACTCGACAGGCTCGACCTGGCCAGGTGGGACTGGGGCCTTTTATTTTCCCTTCTTTTTTTCCCCCTTTTTCTTTCTTTTTTTTTTTTCCTTTTTCCTTCCCTTTCCCCTTTTCATTTTTCCTTTCCCCTTTTCATTTTTCCTTTCCCCTTTTCCTTTCCCCGTTTCCTTTCCCCTTTTCCAGGGACCAATCCAGACCTGTCCTGGTGAAATAAAACATGGAAAACTCGAGGGGAAAACCCTCAAGTTTTTGTTTTTGTGCTGAAGTGCCTTTTCCTTTGTGATTCCCACTTTTCCTGCAGGAAGGAGCTGAAGAAAATGCAGGAGCAGGATGAGGACGCCACCCTGACCCAGCTGGCCACGGCCTGGGTGAACCTGGCCTTGGTGGGTACCAAACATTCCCAAAACATTCCCAAAACATTCCAAGATATCCCAGAGGAGGATGGGGAGCTGCTCTGCTGCCCCCACCCAGACTCCAGGACACAAAATGTTCCTGGAGATGTTTGGGAATGAGGTGAAACCGCTCGGTTTAGGAGGGCAGGAGGGATTGGAATCAACTCCCCAAATCCCATGGGATCCAGGGTCACACCGTTTGGTTTTCCATTCCATAAAGTCCTCAGATTTGATGGAATGACCCTGTGGATGGAAATCAGGAATTCCCAGAGGATGGAAATCAGGAGTTACCTGTGGATGGAGATGAGGAATTCCCAGTAGCTGAAAATGAGGAATTCCCTGAAGATGGAGATGAGGAATCCCAGCTCAGGGAATTCCCAGTGTCTGGAAATCAGAGTTCCCTGTCCCTGAGCAGTGTCCCCGTGTCCCTGAGCAGTGTCCCCGTGTCCCTGCCCTGTCCCTGAGCAGTGTCCCCGTGTCCCTGAGCAGTGTCCCCGTGTCCCTGAGCAGTGTCCCCCTGTCCCTGTCCTGTCCCTGAGCAGTGTCCCCCTGTCCTGCCCTGTCCCTGAGCAGTGTCCCCGTGTCCCCTGCAGGGTGGGGACAAGCTGCAGGACGCCTTCTACACGTTCCAGGAGCTGGCCGAGCGCTGCTCGCCCTCGCTGCCGCTGCTCAATGGCCAGGCCGTGGCTGCCATGGGCCAGGGCCGCTGGGACGAGGCCGAGGGGCTCCTGCACGAGGCCCTGGACAAGGTACAGGACTGTGGAGCAGGGCTGGGCAGGGCTGGAATTGCACCTGGGAACGGCCCCAGTCCCAACTCACAGCCATGGGAACGGCCCCAATCCCAGATCCCAGCCATGGGAATGGCCCCAATCCCAGATCCCAGCCATGGGAATGTCCCCAATCCCAGATCCCAGCCATGGGATCAGCCCCAGTCCCAGATCACAGCCATGGGAATGTCCCCAATCCCAGATCCCAGCCATGGGAACGGCCCCAGTCCCAGATCACAGCCATGGGAATGGTGTTCCCATCAATCCCATCCCATTGATCCCATATTCCTATATTCCCATATTCCCATCCCCACAATCCCAGCTGACTCCAGGCTGACCTGAGGCCCTTCCAGGAATGGGGCAGCCCTGGATTTCCCTGGGGATTCCATTCCAAATGCCCCAGATCCCTCTGGCAGCCCCTCCCGGTGTCCCTGTCCCTTTTCCCAGGACAATGTGCTCTTTTCCAGGACAGCAGCCACCCTGAGACGCTCCTGAACCTCGTGGTGCTGTCCCAGCACCTGGGCAAGGCCCCCGAGGTGAGCTGGGAGCCCTGGGAGGGCAGCAGGGCTGGAATCGACTCCCAAAATTCCATGGGATGGTCCTGGGGGTGGAAATCGGGAATTCCCAGCTCAGGGAGTGACCCTGGGCGTGGAAATGTTTATTTCCAGTGGATGGAAATCAGCAGTTTTTATTGGGAATTTCCCAGAGGATGGAAATCAGGAATTCCCAGTTGAGGGAATTGCCAGTGGATGAAAATTAGGAATTCCTATCTCAAGGAATTCCCAGTGGGTGGAAATTTGGAATTCCAGTTGAGGGAATTCCCAGTGGATGGAAATCAGGGATTTGGCTTTTCCAGCAGGATTTGGGTATAAAAGGGAGAATTTTGGGAATGGGAAGCTCCCAGGAAAGGGGTGGGAATAGTGGGGATTGTCCTTTCCCATGGAATTTAATGATCCTTCCAACCCAAACCATTCCTCTGATTTTTTTTTTATTTTTTTTAACTCAAAACCACCACCGAAAGTTTATTTTGAAAAATTTTTTATTTTGAGCACGTGCATGGATCCTGCTGGTTTGAATTGGGACAGTGAGAGAAAATCAGGATTTTGGGTGTAAAAAAAAACCACATTTAGGTTGGATTTGTTCCACTCTGACATCTCAAAATTTCCATTTTTTCTCCCCCTCCCACAGGTCACCAATCGTTACCTGTCCCAGCTGAAAGATGCTCACAAAAACCATCCCTTCATCAAGGAGTACCAGGCCAAGGTAGGGAAAAAACAGAAATAATTCTAGAAATAAATCAAACAAATTGAATTGATCACGTTCTGATAGAGCCAAGGGGCAGCTCCATCTCGTTCAGTTTTGGGAATCTCAAACCTGGAAAAAATAGGGAAAAAAAAAAATGCTATTCAGATGCAGATTTTTAATTGAAAAATTAAAGTTTAATTTTTTTTTTTTTTTTTAATTTGTGCCCAGGAAAGACTGGGAGAGGGAATTTGGGGAGAGGGGAAGGGAAAAGCAGCAAATGACAAAAAATAAAAAAAAGGGATTTGCTGCTGGAATTCCCTCAGTTTTTGGGGAGCTGCCTGTGGTGTGTTGAGCTAGAGGAGAGTTAATCGATGTGAATGTGAGGATGATTGATTGATTAATTAATAATTAATTAATGCCTTCATTTCTGGCTGTGGTTGTAGGAGAACGACTTTGACCGCCTGGCCCTGCAATATGCACCCAGTGCCTGAATTCCTTCTGGGACACAAAAATTCCCTCTGGGACAGGAAAAAAACACTCTGGGACACAAAAAATTCCTTCTGGGACACCAAAAAATTACTCTGGGACACAAAAAATTCCCTGTGGGACAGGGAAAATCCCCTCTGGGACCCAGAAATTCCCTCTGGAACTCAAAACCTTCCCTCTGGAACACAAAATTTCCCTCTGGAACAGGGAAAATTCCCTCTGGAACACAAAAAAAATCCTTCTGGAACCCAGAAATTCCATCTGAACCCAGGAAATTCCCCGTGGAATGGAAAATTCCCTCTGGAACTCAAAAGTTTCCCTCTGGAACACAAAAAATTCCTTCTGGAACCCAGAAATTCCATCTGGAACCCAGAAAATTATATAAATATAAATTAAATAAATAAAAACAAAATAATTTAAAAAAAGAATCCTCCTGGATTTTCCTGAATTTTCCCCAGTCACTGCTGGGAAGGCCATGGTCCAACCTGGATTTTTTAGGAATTCTTGTGGTTGAGATCCCAATGGAATTTCCCCCAATCCCTGCCAGGAAATCTTAAAATTCGCCTTGAAAATGAATTTGGAATCCTAAAATTCACCTTTAAGATGGGTCTGGAACCACGAAATTCACCTTGAAAATAAAACACAAGGGAAAAACCGAAATGAAACCGATTTAAATATTAAATAAAAATAAAAATACAAGGGAAAAACCGAAATGAAACCGATTTAAATATCAAATAAAAATAAAAATACAAGGAAAAAACCGAAATAAAATGGATTTAAATCTAGAATAAAAATTAAAATACAAGGAAAAAACCGAAATAAAACTGATTTAAGTATAAAATTAAAATAAAAATACAAGGAAAAAACCGAAATAAAACGGATTCAAGTATAGAATAAAAACACAAAGCAAAAACCGATTTAAATATAAAATTAAAATGAAAATACAATAAAATTAGAATTTTAACCTTATTTCAAGCCCCAGTTTCTCGGGGCCCACACAAGCTCAGCCCAGCCTGGTTGCTCCGGGTGTCCCCCCCGTGTCCCCCCTGTCCCTGCTGTGCCACTTGTGGGATTGTTTTGGTTTTTCCCGGGAATTTCTGGGCACACTGGAGCCTTTGAGAGCAGCACAAAGGGAACATTGATGCCACAGACCCCTGAGCCAAGGCTGGCACAACAAAGGGACCTTTGAGAGCCCCACGGGGGAGCCCGAACCTGGGGACTGGAACTTGGGGGAGCCCAAATCTCGGGGTACTGAAACCTGGGGGTACAGAAACCCCAAAACCTCGGGGTACTGAAAATTTGGGGTACCCGAACCTGGGGATTGGAACTTGGGGGTGCCCAAAACTCGGTATTGAAACTGGGGTGCCCAAAACTGGGTACTGGAACTTCAGGGTACCCAAACCCCAAAACTCGGGGTACTGAAAATTTGGGGTAGAGAAACCCCCGGGGTACCGGAACCCCAAAATCTCGGGGTACCCAAACTTTGGGGTACAGAAACCTCGGGCTACCAGAACCCCAAAACCTCGGGGTACAGAAACCTCGGGGTACCGGAACCCCGAACCCTCGGGGTTCCCAAACTTTGGGGTGCCCACTCCTGGGGCTCCCGGTCCCTGCCGGTTCTGTCGCCTCTCCCTTCTCCCGAGCCGCCTCCCCCGCCTCCTTTTGGTTCCTTTTCCTCTCCCCTGGCCCCTCCGGGAGCGGCGGCCGAGCCCGAGGGGGCCGGGCCGTGCCGGGGGGCGGCCCCAGCCCGGTACCGGCGCGGGGGGAGCTCGGTGCCCGCCCCGCCGGAGCCTGCGCGGGGCCGCGGCCGTGGCAGCTCCGCGATGCCGCCTCCGGAGCCTGCGGAGCCCATGCCCGGCTACGGGGAGCTGCTCCGCCGAGCCTACGGCAGCCTGGCCGAGGCCGCCCGCGGCTGCGAGGATTGCGGCTGGGAGCTGGCTCGCCGTACCTGGGCGGAGAACGCGCACCTGGGCTGGGCGGAGGTGCTGCTGTGCGGGATCTGCGCGCTGGGCTGGACCGCGCTGCGCCGCGCCTGCTGCCGCCGCCTCTTTCGGGTCGGTACCGGGCACGGGATGGGGGGAACGGCGGTGGGAGCGATGGGGGCAGAGCCACGGGCAGCCGTGGGGGTTTGGCCGTGGGGGGGACGCGTTCTGCGTGGATTTTGGGGTGAGGGGTGCGCCCCCGCTCCTCTGCATCCCCGAGTGTGGAGCATCCCCAGAGCCCCCCCGCCCCCCGGTGCCTTCCGCCTCCTCCTCCTCCTCCTCCTCCTCCTCCCACCGCCGCCTTCTCGGCGCTGCATCCCCTCAAGGTTGAGGGATTTTTCTTCCAGGTTATTCGCAGCTTGTTCCGTGCCTTTCCCGAGGCTGTATCCTGCAGGATTTGAGCATCCTGCTGCACCAGCAGAGCCCCCCCGCTCCATTGTCCCCCCCGCGTTCCCATTCCTGCCCCCATCAGGCTCGGGGTTTTTTCTTCCCGGTTATTCCCAGGTTTTTGCGCCTTTCCCGGTGCTGCATCCTGCAGGATTTGAGCATCCAGGAGCATCAGCAGAGCTCCCCCTGCTCCTTTTCCCTCCCCCACGTTTCCATCCCCGCATCCCCTCAAGGTTGAGCGCTTTTTCTTCCCGGTTATTCCCAGCTTGTTCCGTGCCTTCCTCCGGCGCTGTATCCCTGAGGATTGGAGCATCCCGGAGCTCCGGCAGAGCCCCCCCTGCTCCATTTCCCCCGGCCCCATCCCCGCTGCGTCCCCTCAAGGTTGAGGGATTTTTCTTCCCGGTTATTCCCAGATTTTTCTGTGCTTCCGTGCCTTTCCCGGGGCCGCATCCCGAAGGGTTTCAGCATCCCTGTGCACCAGCAGAGCCCCTCCTGCTCCTTCCCCCGCTCCCATTCCCATCCCCGCAGCCCCAGAAGGTCAAAGATTTTTTCTTCCCGGTCATTCCCTGCCGGGAGAATGGGTGGCGGGGGGGGAAGACGAGGGGACAAATCCCTGCGGATTTTTGGAGGAAATCTCCGGAGCGATGGCGCGGGGCTCGATGCTGCAGCGCCGGCCTGAGCTGCAAGAGCTCGGGGGAAGCAGAGATGGCCCCGCAGCCCCCGGGGCTCGGGGATGCAGCGATGGCCCCGCAGCCCCCGGAGCGCCTCCCTGGCCGCTGTCCCCCGCTGCTGTCGCCGCCTGGGTGGGGACAGGCCGGGCAGGAGGTCCCCGAGCAGGAGCAGCAGCTCTGGCCCTGCTCCCCATCCCTCCTCGAGAGATGCTGCAGGCTCTGCCCCGGCCTCCGGGGGACTGGAAGGGCAGAACCAGCGGAAATCTGGAGGATTTTTTGGGGTCAGGGCACAGCATTTTGTCACATCTGGTGCCACCAGGCCTTGGGGAGGCTGGGCCAGGCCTCGTTCCTCATTCCCTGGGCGGGATCCTCATGGATCCTCATGGTCCCTGTGGGAGTCACCGCTGCCCCCTGCCCTAAAGCAGCTCCCCCTTCACTTCTTTGGGGTCCCGACCTTGTGCAAGGTCCAGCCTGAGCCCTCCTGGGCTGCTGAGGGAGCTGTGGGTGAGGAATCTGCTGGGAATGTTGAATTTTCCCCTCATTCTCTGCCCCACCTGGCAGTGCTGGAACAAAGTGAAGTGGATTTTCTGGATTTCCCCCTGTCCCGGGAGGGCTCGGGGGGGCTCCTGGCAGCTCTGAGGTGCCGTTCCCTGGGGAATTGGGTCACTCGTGTAACTGCAGAAGGGCCAGGGGGGCTGAGTGGGGCTGGTTCCTGTGGCTCCATCTGCATGTGGCTGATCCTGATGAGATGCTGAGCAGGGTTCTGGTGGCATCAGCTTTCCTCCAGCAGCAGGGAGGGACAGTTCCATCGGCAGGGCTGTATTTTAAAAAGATTGGGAGGTTTTCCTTGCTGGAATTGCTGTGGGGAAGGATGGGAATTGAGTTTTTTCTGTAAAACCTGGTTTGGGTCCCAGGGGGATTTTTGGACCTTGCTGCCCATGGAAAGGCAGGAGAAAAAAATGAGTTGTCTAAGCCCAGGAACTTCTCCCCTGCTCAGGATTTTGCTTTTTTGGGGCATCCCTCCTCATTTGGAGGCTGTTCCTGTGGGGACTGAGGCTGGAAGAGCCTCCTTGGTGTCCTGGCTGTGAATCTCGTGATGCTGCCCCAGCAGCCGGGGAGGAAATGTTCTCACCACAAGAGCTCAGCTCAGCCCAGGCCACCAGAGAAACCCCTGAAGGTGCTGAAGCTCTTCCTGAGCTCTCCGTGGGGCCTCCCCCAGCTCTTACCCCCCAAAATTCCTGTCCCAGCAGGTCCCCAGGGGGGTTGGAATTGCTGCAGAGGTGACGGGGAGGGTTTGGGTTGGCTCTGAGTGGATTTTCCAGCAGTTTTGGTTTTCTCCTCGTCCTTCTCAGGGCAAATTTTGGCCCTTTTGCTGCTTCTTCACAAAATCCTCGGTGCAAATACAGCAAGGGGATTGTGTTGGGGTGGGAAAGATCCCGGTGAGGGGGAGGAAATTTGGATTAAAAGGTCAGGAAAGACCCTCAGAGTCAGCTGTGCTGGGGCATGAACATCCCTGTGGGATTTATTCCCCCTTCCCCACCTCCCTGCTCTTTCCCCGCTGATCTTTGGGTGCACAAACATCTGCAGGAGCTCCCTGGGCTTGCAGAGCAGCTCCAGAAATTAACCCCAAGCTCCCTGGAATCCTTGGATTTGCCCCCCTGGTGCTACCTTGGTGTCCCAGCCCTGCCCTTGGTGTGGCCCTGTGGGACTTGGATTAAAAAGCAGCAACCTGAGCACATCTGTGTTAGTTAAAACCCCTGGAGGGCACCTGAGCCTGGGAAAGGAGTGGAAAAAAAAAAAAAAAAAAGCTGGGAGAAGCTCCTGGAGCTCTCTCCTTGCCCTCAGGCAGGTAAACCCAGGAGCACACCTGGATTTGGGGCACACCTGTGACCCCTCAACCCCCCTGGGCTGCTGGACTGGGAGTCAGGAAAATCTCTGGGTGGGTTTGGAGGTGGTCAGGTGTCCCCTCTGTCCCCAAAACTTGGCTCAAAATTCTCCATTTCTGGCCCAGCCAGGTGTTTGTCCCAGCGGTGCCCACATCTGTAGGACACCCCGGTGTCCTCTGCAGGGAAAAAGGTTGGGAAATGTTCTCAGGGAAGCAGAGCTGCAGGGGAGAGACTCAGAGCAGCCCCGGGGAGGATGTGGAAGCTGAAAATTCAGGATTTGTGTCCTTGCAGCGATTTGGGAACTTTCCCCCACCCTGCAGCACCTCCGGGGTTTCATTTTCCAATCCCCGACCCTTCCCCAAGTGACTTGGAGGGGGGAACGTCCCCACAGGTGACCCCAGCGCGGTCTGGGAGCAGAGGACACCGAGCTGGGGACAGGCTCTGGTTTTTCCTCCTCTGAACACAAACCCCGGGAGCTCCAGAGGGGAGAAAAAGCCAAACAAAGAGCCCTTTATTCCCCTGGGGGCTGCTCTGCTGTGTCAGCGTCCTCCCAGCGTCTCCTGCTGCTCCTCTCCCCGCCGGGGACACCGAATCGAGGGCGAAAAAAAAATATTTAAAAAAATATAACATCCTCTCAATATTTTGGTGGGAAAATCGCCATTTTTTTCTCGGAAAAAAATCGGGAAATGTTGTGCAGAGCTTGGGTGGATTTAGGGATCCCTGGATGCAGATTTAGGGATCCCTGGGGCTGGGAGTGGATTTAGCTGTGGGGAAACTGAGGCACGGAGGTGCTGCAGGGATGGGGAGAGCAGAGCTGGGGGTGTCGGGGGGAGGTGACAGCCCCTGCCCCGGGGTCCCCAGGCTCCTCTGGCCTCGCAGATCAGGGACTTTTTCCTGGTTTTTCCTTCTTTAACCTGCCAGAGGCAGCGCTGGGTGGGATATCAGGAATTGTTCCCTGGGATGGAATTCCCAAAAAAGCTGAGGCTGCCCCATCCCATCCCATTATCCCATCCCATTATCCCATTATCCCATCCCATTATCCCATCCCATCCCATCCCATCCCATCCCATTATCCCATCCCATCCCATCCCATCCCTGGGAGTGTCCCGGGCCAGGCTGGACGGGGTTTGCAGCACCCTGGGCTTGGTTTTGATTTTAAGATCATTCCAAACAATTCTGGGATTCCTGGGGAGCCCCATCCGGGGTGGCTGATCCGGGAGGGGACAGAGGGGACAGAGGGGACCGAGCCCTTTGGGGCACCCCCCAGCCCTGGGAAGGGGCAGGAGTCTCTGGACGAGGCTCGGGAGTTGTCCTGGCTCGGCCCTCGGCCCTGGCACTGCCAGCTCCCGGGGATGCTCCGTGCCAGCCTTTGTGTCCCTTTGTGTCCCTTTGTGTCCCTTTGTGTCCCTCGGGACGCGCTGGCACCGTCGGGCCCGGGGGGATCCAGGAATTGCTCCGGAACAAACCGCGACTGAAAATCCTCTCCTTCCCCTTCCCCTTCCCCTTCCCC